AATGTTTTGATGCCTAAATACACTTGTAGCATTTAAAACAATTTTTAAAAACAAGTTAATTAGTTATTACGCTGTGAAATAATATACATTTTTTTATATTTATTAATGAATATTAAAAAAGAATAATAAATGATGTATAAATAAAGAAATAAAAAATTTATAAACGATGAACAATTAATCTTTATAATAACACTGATTAATTAGCGAATCTTGTAATAAATATAAATTTTTCATAATGGCGTGCTGCCTAAATCCATTTGTGGCATTTAAAAGGTTGATTTTAGTTGTTTAACGTTTTATTTATTTAAAAAAAACAGCGTGGAATTATTTGATTATTGCCTAAGACGTGAGATTAATCGTTGGCATTGAGTTTTAATATGAGTTTTCAGTGGAATCCGCTCTATCAGCCCGATCTCTCTGTATTACAGTGGAATTGATGTGGTTTTGTGTTTGTGTGTGTTTGCAGGATGTGTTGACGGATCTCTCGGCTGAATGTGAGAATCTGTCTGTCGAAGGCGTTTCAGGAACCTGCTACGCTCACAAGGTGACAAAATCACGTACATCTATCTCAACATTAAAATCATCAAAACAACACACCCACTACATCAGTTATGAAGCATGATCTCTCTCACCGAATGCTTATGTTTGCTGGAATGTCTCTCTATCGCAGGGCATTTGTCAAGCTGCACATTACATCTACAAGAGACTAGTGAACGATGGGATTCTGAGTCAGGCGTTCAACATCGCACCTGTGAGAGCGGTTCTGCTGCGCTTTCATTATCCAGCAGGAGAATCAGCAGCCGAATGAAGGTTTGTCTTGTGCTTGTGTGCAGGAGTATAAGCTGGTGATCACCGGTCACAGTCTGGGAGCAGGAGCGGCGTCTCTGCTGGCCGTTCTCCTGCGCAGCACACATCCCACACTCGAGTGCTACGCCTTCTCTCCACCAGGGGGCCTGATGAGGTAAAGCTGCGGCTTGTTCATATATAGCCAGTGTTGGGAAGGTTACTTTGGAATAGTGCTGCCAAACGATTAATCA